AGTGTCCTAGCAACATACATAGCAGTTTCATCGTGTGTTTGGTGGAAGGAACCCCCCTACCTTAACCAATTCAGCCAAAAGACCTCTAAAGTGAGGGCCTCACAATTAGGGAATGGCCCCTTGTTCAAGGAAGGTGCTGAGATTGGGCACTCGAACATCTGACAAAAGCACAGGAAGGAGGTGGCCCAATGGTTCATTCCTTGGAGATGGGATGGAACCAGGACAGATTATTGGTGAGGACGTTGGACACCCTTTGAACATGACTGGCACAGAGAGCAAAGTCCCAAGAACCAAGCAACCCAACAGGGAAAGAGGGTGAAAGAAAGGCGAACCGTGTGCAGATGATGAGTCAAAATAACTTTGCTGAAGATATGATGACCAAATCACATACCAGAAGATGAAGAGATGACAACATTTCGGTCCATCCTAGACCATTATCAAGTTGATTATTATCTCATTTCTACAATCAACTGGATAATGGTCCAGGACAGACCGAAATGTTGTCGTCTCTTCATATTTTGTGTGTGATTTGGTCATCAAGGCGAACCACACCTCAAGGTGAAAAATAGAAGGTGTGAACAGAACCAAGGTCGAGGTACTCAACACCTCCAAATCTGGGGCCCTAAACATTAACTAGGGCTGCTCCAGGGCATCCAACTAGGCTAACTGAAATCACTGCAATCCAGAAAACCAAACATGCATAGCAGTCACTGCCTGAGAAGCCCACACATCAGGAGGGCTGAAAGGAGAGCAACATGACAGCAGTAAACCCCTCATGACTCAGGGTCGACGGTGTCACTGACCCAACAGGCAGAAAGCAGAGGCAGATGGACCGAATGTCGCCAAGTGGCACCGAAAATGCACAACCCTCAACTTTCATGAAGCGAGAGCTGGTTCAGAGGGGTGGGCGGGGGGGGAATACCCAGAGGACCTCTGAACCCAAGCAGATTTTTAGAGCCTGGGGGGGGAATCAACTCCAACAGGAATCACCGGTACTGGGAATGCTATGCTGGTCCTTCCAAGTATCGCATCAATGGGAGAACAGCAGAATACAAGTAGGCCAACAAAGCGAGTCCAACTCGGCTGTGAAGGCCGACCTCAGTGTGCTCGGTAAAGCGTGCAAACCACAGTGCATCCCAACAGCCAATGTCACTCCCTACCCAAGAAAAGACAAAGTCAAAGACACCTGACTCACCCAGAGCGAGGGCCACCACAAGGAAGGAGGACCCCTAAGGGAGCGACTCCCAAGCACTCCAGGGAAAATAATCTTGGCAGTGGAAGGGCAGTACTGTGGAGTGCACAGTGAAGATAATCTTGAGCACATGCAGTTCCAAGCACTCTTAACTCCTGGCTCATGCTACACCAAAGTGCAAAGGAACAGCCACAAAAGCATAAACCACCACTTAGCTGCAAACAGAACACTGGAGCTAGAGAGACAAAGAGGGGACCAGACCCACACCACTATTAGAATAGAACTGAGGGTAGAGCAGCTGGTTGACTGCAGCATGCCTCCCACCTCCCTTCCAAATGAGTGAGGGAGGTGGAGCAAATGAGCCAGTGCTAGTTTCATAAAATTGTTATCGTTGGAATACAAAGTTTGGCGAGTTCTTTAGTGAATGTCGAGGCTCTGATCTCGTTTGAAGCCACCAGTGATTTGGTTTGTTTCACTGGCTTTCTGGGTGCTTCCCTGGTGGTGGCAGACATGAATAAATTAATATAAATTTTATGGTAAGTGCCACCACTCCCTGCACCTCTATGAGGAAGGCCAGGCTTTGGGTCATGGTTCCTGGTAGGCCAAGAGAAGTCTGCAACTGATGGGACCCAGCAGTATGGCTCACTATCTGCGAAAGTAGCATCAGGGGAGCCACAATGGGCTCCCCCTAGAAAGGTGCAAATATCAAGAGATACTCAACGAGATCAGCAATCATGCTTGTGAAATGTTAATTAATCCTGTAGCATGTACCACTAATGCTTAGACTGAAGTCCAATAGGAAGACTAACCCACTTATTTTAATGACCTAGGTAGGAGCAACACGTTGAACACTAAGTTTGAGTGTAGCAAGCACCACCTCACTCCTCATCACCTGGTGATGAAGAGTGAGGTGGTGGGCGAGTAGTCATTTGATAGTAAATGAAACCTCAGTTATCGTATGCCCCTGTTTTCATATTTTTCGGTACTCATACTCAATTTCTTCTAATAATTTTATTCAGTACTCGTTGTTTGCCTTGGTGTTCGGAGTTTGTTGATACACATACGGGCCAACCGACCACATGGCTCGCTTTAGTTTACCAGTGTCTCCCAACTAGTAATAACCGAGCTTGAATTCTTTGTTAAGAATTTAATTGTTTTTGTGCTTTTTCTGGTTTCTGAACATAAAAGTTCTTATTATATATCATACCATGGGTTCTATGAAAGTCAGTGGTAAAGATCAATCTAAGAAAATAGTTGTAAGGATGACAATAGAGGAAAAACAAGAGGTAATCCATAGTGTAACAATGTGATGTCTTGCTACAGACAAGTGTTAAAACACAGAGAAAAACAAGGGTCTATAGACAGATATTTAGTAAGACAAGCAAGCAGTGAGCCACAACTAGGTCCTAATGGTATGCTTGCATAACATAAAAGAGAAACCCCAAAAATGTCATCAATGCCTGATATTATAATGGAGGGGGACTCCCCTTCCAAACACTAACACTTCTTCCCTCCTCACTATCTTCCATACACCAACAAGAGTCCTCCATAAAGGTAAGGTACCTATGAGTAGTTTTCTGTATAAAATTCATTTTTCAGTTAATATTTTTGGGGTGTGTGGACCAGATTAATTCAATTTACATAATTTCTTCTGGGATAATTCGTTTCGGTTTTCGTATTTTTGATTTTCGTATCATCTCTGGGAATGGATTAAATACGAAAACTGAGTTACCATTGTAGTTTGGAAATTTCAGAATTTGTTTGGTATATTTCTTGCAGTGTTGTCAAGTGTTGTGGCACCTTTCATTGTTGTAGGGAATTTACCTTAACCCTTTAACTGCGCAACGCGCCTGCAGGCCCAGGCTTCAGGTGCGCAACGCGCCTCTGGGTGTTTTTATTTTTCACGTTCCATTCAAAACTCCCGCGGCTACATGGGGTTCACATCAGCTTCCTCAGGGCTCTTGTAAACAAACGCCATCTTTAAAAAAAATCATGGTCCACATTGCCGGGTGCCAGAGCCTCAGTACAGTAGTGAGTGAGCAACCAAGGCTGGCGCTCGCAGCATGAGCGCACAGCACTGCTGTTCAGCGTGTGACCACAGCATCTCCTACTATTGTCAATATATATAAACTGTTTTATTTAGCCATGATAGTATTATAGAAGAGCCCGAGTGTGATAATGACTAGGTACAATGTTCAAATATCAGTGATTCAATGCTGTTCACGATGTTCACAGCGCTAGCCACAGCACCACAGCATTATTTCGTCCATGTAGGAACCTTCAAACGTCTTTTTAGGTTCCTTTTCAAAATAAACTTGTGGTCACTTATTCACTTACAGATATTAGTGACCAGGATTGTGGTTAAAATGAGCGTTGTGCGTAGGAGGGAGGAATTTTGGTGAGGGAGGGAGGAAGGGAGAGAATTGAGGTAGCCTCACTGTGTGGCAGTAACTCTTGATTTGCTCACCATACTAGTTTCGTTTTTCGCTATGGGGAACACACATGTACATGGGTATATACAGTGTGTGTGGAATAGTGTAGTAACAGCATCAGGAGTATGTTGTGAGGAGCTATTTTGGTGAGGGAGGTGACGTCGTAATCGTGGCATCGTCTGCTGTCTGCTGTGTGATTTGTCATGCAGCGTATGGTGGCCACTGTACTGTTTGGACACAATACCGGCTTACTTGCATAGTTCTGGTAAATAAAACATGTAGATAGGAATATATAACATGTGTAAATTGTGTAATAAATACAATAACAGTATGGTGGGAGGAGCAATGTTGGCGAGTAAGATGTTGGAGTGAGGGAGGGCTGGCTGGGTGTGGCTGCTCACACTCGCGGTGTTCTGAGTGTGTTGATGGTGAATGTATATAGTGTGTGACAGTGTAGAGTGTGTACATATGTTGTAAATATACATAAATGAACATGAAACATTGGTGTGAATAACTGTATGATTTGGAGGAGTAATGTTGGTGAATACAATGTTGGAGGAGTGAGGGAGGGCTGGCTGGGTGTGGCTGCTCTCACTAGCGGTGTTCTGAATGTGTTGATGGTGAATGTATATAGTGTGTGACAGTGTATAGTCTGTAAATAGATTGTATATATACATAAATTAGCATGATACATGGTAAATATGTGCAACATATGTGTACACAAGTGTCATGCACGTAACACAGTGTTTTCGGACAGTACGGATGTTTTACTGCCATAATATAGTGTACGTGTTCATTATACATAGGATTAGCATGTAAAAACAATTAAAATGTATTTGGAACAGTGCGCAAAAAATGTGCAAAAATATATTCGCGGCAACTCGCACGCCCCGTCCCGGGCACCCCACCGGCCCCGAGAGCATACTGCTCTGGCGCACGGGGAATTATGACGTCACGGCCCACCTTTCGGACCCCATAGCAGCCAAAGTAAGTACAATTTCGAACTTGCGTTGCTATACCCATATACAGGGAGGGGTTTTTGACACTTTCCGAAGAAAAAATAATTTTTTCCCAAGGTTTTGTTTCCTGCGCACTGGGGGGATATCATATTTATAGGCCGCGCAGTTAAAGGGTTAATAGTGAATGGATCTGTGATCCTTACATGCTCCTTGCCCCTTTGGGGAGGCATGGCAGGTTCTTTGGCATGGCACTTGCTGCCAATGGGCACAGATTGTCACAAGAGCCACATATTGTCTTCCTGCAGCATCAGTGCCATAAGCTAAGACTAGATAATGTGGGGGGGGCCTGGTCAGAAAACGATTCAAATATATCATGCAGTATAATTATCAATATGAATATACTGTACTTTCACTTACCTTTCTAGCAACTGAGCAACAGTAGACTTGCCACCCCCTGATACACCAACCAATGCCACAACACGACCAGCTGGGATGTGTAGACTGAAGTTGTGCAGCACCTCCTTGAACATTGGAAGGTTTGGTGATGTGCAAATACAAAGTTTTTAAGATTTTTATATTATATTTCATAAGGTTCATTCTGCTGAAAAATAAGGAACAGTATTTTTGGTAGAGATCCAAATCATTATATCCTCATCCAATATACCAGTTCAATAAGTCTATATTGCTCCTTTCTTCAGATACTACAAAAATTTATCATGAATTTATAGAAAAAAGGATGTGAATATAAATACATTATGTAGCTGTCTTCTGAATGTCAGACACAACCCACAAATATGAAAATAAAAGAACTGATGGCATTTTTGCCTCTCCTGGACATTACCACCATATTACATGACTTGAAAATGGTCCAGGGTGGAGCAAAACATTGTCAATTCATTTATTTTCAGATTTGTGGGTTGGTGTCAAATTTTCAGCCATGTTATTGTGATTCTTGACTGCTTTTGAATGTTATTTCTACTTTATGATTATACTAAAAAGTAAACATCAAAGCTAGTAACCTAAGAATTCTTAAAGGTCAATGATGACTACTTTTTCAACATACCTGATCAGATCTTGTAGGATAAGCAAATGAAACATTTTTGAACTCAATATTTCCCATCAGAGAATGATATGGGATTTTTGCTCCCCCTCTTAAAGGTATTGTTGGCTCTAGCTTGACATACTGAAACAGATAACCAGCGTTAAATGTAATGAAAAGCCATTTTCTGTGAGAGCCCTGGAGGCTCCATGGAGCTTATCAGGCTAATGTATGTTATATTAGACCGGGACATTAGCTAAGGAGTTCAGACCTACCAGGGACCAGCGCCAGAACCTGGCTCCTTCAGAGAGGTTTCAGAGAGCAATGGCCCTGGAAAACCTCATTGTGGTTGGGGTTTTCCTTATCTGCCATCGACCAGGGTTAGGCACCCAGAAAGGTAGGCATAACAAAACAAACCCCACTTGGTAAAAAACTAAAAAACAAAACCGAACAGAGAGGTAGAAACTCCCTACAATCCCAAGGAAACAAGCAAACAAGCAAACATCACACTTTACTGCCGTGCTGATTGTCCATGCTCCCTGGTTGATACCTGGTTGATGGGGTTCTGGGAGTTCTTCTACTCCCCAAGCCCGGCCCGAGGCCAGGCTTGACTTGTGAGAGTTTGGTCCACTAGGCTGTTGCTTGGAGCGGCCCGCAGGCCCACATACCCACCACAGTCCGGTTGGTCCGGCACTCCTTGGAGGAATAAATCTAGTTTCCTCTTGAAGATGTCCACGGTTGTTCTGACAATATTTCTTATGCTTGCTGGGAGGGTGTTGAACAACCACGGTCCTCTGATGTTTATACAGTGTTCTCTGATTGTGCCTATGGCACCTCTGCTCTTCACTGGTTCTATTCTGCATTTTCTTCCATATCGTTCACTCCAGTACGTTATTATTTTACTGTGTAGATTTGGTACTTGGCCCTCCAGTATCTTCCAGGTGAATATTATTTGATATCTCTCTCGCCTTCTTTCTAGTGAGTACATTTGGAGGGCTTTGAGACGATCCCAATAATTTAGGTGCTTTATTGCGTCTATGCGTGCCGTATATGTTCTCTGTATTCCCTCTATTTCAGCAATCTCTCCTGCTCTGAAGGGGGAAGTGAGTACTGAGCAGTACTCAAGACGGGACAACACAAGTGACTTGAAGAGTACAACCATTGTGATGGGATCCCTGGATTTGAAAGTTCTCGTAATCCATCCTATCATTTTTCTGGCTGTCGCAATGTTCGCTTGGTTATGCTCCTTAAACGTTAGGTCGTCAGACATTATTGTTCCCAAATCCTTTACATGCTGTTTTCCTACTATGGGTACATTTGATTGTGTTTTGTACTCTGTATTATGTTTAAGGTCCTCATTTTTACCGTACCTGAGTACCTGGAATTTATCACTTAAACATCATGTTATTTTCTGATGCCCAGTCGAAAACTTTATTAATATCAGCTTGAAGTTTTTCAATGTCTTCAGCCGAGGTAATTTTCATACTGATTTTTGTGTCATCTGCAAAAGATGATACGAAGCTGTGACATGTATTTTTGTCTATATCTGATATGAGAATAAGGAAAAGCAGCGGTGCAAGGACTGTACCCTGAGGTACAGAGCTTTTAACTGCACTTGGACTAGATTTTATATGGTTGACCGTTACTCGCTGAGTCCTGTTTGACAGAAAACTAAGTATCCAGCGTCCTACTTTACCGGTTATTCCCATTGACTTAATTTTGTGTGCTATCACGCCATGGTCACATTTATCGAAGGCCTTTGCGAAGTCCGTGTATATCATATCAGCATTCTGTTTTTCTTCTAATGCCTCAGTGACTTTGTCGTAGAGCTCAAGTAGCTGTGAGAGGCACGATCTTCCCGCTCGAAATCCATGTTGGCCTGAGTTGTGAAGGTCATTGGTCTCCATGAAATTGGTGACCTGACTCCTAATGATCTCTCAAATACTTTTATGATGTGCGATGTTAGTGCAACTGGTCTATAATTCTTTGCCAATGCTTTGCTCCCTCCCTTGTGTAGAGGGGCTATGTCTGCTACTTAAAGTGCATCTGGTATCTTCCCCGTGTCCAAGCTCTTCCTCCACACTATACTGAGTGCCTGTGCTACTGGCACTTTGCATTATAAATATTGAATTCCATGAGCCTGGACCTGGGGCCGAGTGCATGGGCATGTTTTCAATTTCTCTTTCAAAATTTAGTGCGCTCGTGTTGATATCAGTTATATTTACAGGGGTTTGAATATCCCGCATAAAGAAATTGTCTGGATCTTCCACTTTCATGTTGTTTATTGGAGTGCTAAACATGTCCTCATACTGCTTTTTTAGGATTTCACTTATTTCTGTCATCCTCCGTGTATGAACCTTCACTTGTACGAATAGGTCCAATACTGGCAGTGGTTTTTGCTTTTGATTTCGCATATGAGAAGAAATATTTTGGATTTTTCTTTATTTCCTGAATTGCTTTCTGTTCTAACTGCCTTTCTTCAGTTTCATATGAGTGTTTCAATTTCCGCTCGATTTCTTCAATCTCCCTATTTAAATTATTCTTTGACGGGAAATTCGTGTCTGCATAAGCAGTTCCATTATTTTTTTCCTGCGTTTATAGTGTCGTCTGTGCGTCCATAGCATAGGCTCCTTGCACAATATTCTTTATGTGGTCCTCAGGTGATAGTTTTCTATCTAGAACCACCCCTAGATCTCTTTCTTTATCAGAATTCTTTAAAGATTTCTCACATAAAATATAGGTTGTGTGGGGTCTATGTTCTATTCCACATTCCATAACATGACATTTATTACATGGAGTGCCGGACCAACCGGGCTGTGGTGGGTATGTGGGCCTGCGGGCCGCTCCAAGCAACAGCCTGGTGGACCAAACTCTCACAAGTCGAGCCTGGCCTCGGGCCGGGCTTGGGGAGTAGAAGAACTCCCAGAACCCCATCAACCAGGTATCAACCAGGTATTAACCCTATAACTGCTCAACGCACCTGTAGGTCCAGGCTTCAGGTGCGCAACGCGCCTCCGGTTATTTGTATTTTTCATGTTCCATTCAAAACTCCTGCAGCTACATGGGGTTCACATCAGCTTCCTCAGGGCTCTTGTAAACAGATGCCATCTTAAAAAAAAAATCGTGGTCCACATTCCTAGGTGTGGGAGCCTCAGTAGTGAGTGAGCAACCAAGGCTGGCGCTCGCAGCATGAGTGCACAGGACTGCTGTTCAGTGTGTGACCACAGCATCGCCTAATAATGTCATAATATATATATAACTTGTATTATTTATCCATGATAGTATTATAGAAGAGCCTGAGTGTGATAATGACTGGGTACAATGTTCAAATATCAGTGATTCAATGCTGTTCACGATGTTCACAGCGCTAGCCACAGCACCACAGCATTATTTCGTCCATCTAGGAATCTTCAAATGACTTTTTAGGTTCCTTTTCAAAATAAACTTGTGGTCAATTATTCATTTACAGGAATTAGTGACCAGGATTGTGGTTATAATTAGTGTTGTGCATAGTATTGTGTAAGGAGGAATTTTGGTGAGGGAGAAGGAAGGGAGAGAATTGAGGTAGCCTCACTGTGTGGAAGCCACTCTTGTTTTCCTCACCATACTAGTTTGTGGTTCGCTATGGGGAACACACATGTACATGGGTATATACAGAATGTGTGTGTGTGTATATATAGTGTAATAACAGCAACAGGAGTATGTTGAGTGGAGTTATTTTGGTGAGGGAGGTGACGTCGTAATTGTAGCGTCGTCTGCTGTCTGCTGTGTGATTTCTTATGCAGTGTATGGTGGCCACTGTACTGTTTGGACACAATACTGGCTTACTTGCATAGTTCTGGTAAATAAAACATGTAGATAGGTATATATAACATGTGTAAATAGTGTAATAAAAACAATAACAGTGTGGTGGGAGGAGCAATGTTGGCGAGTAAGATGTTGGAATGAGGGAGGGCCTGTCTGGGTGTGGCTGCTCACACTCTCGGTGTTCTGAATGTGTTGATGCTAAATGTATATAGTGTGTACATATGTTGTAAATATACATAAATGAACATGAAACATTGGTGTGAATAACTGTATGATGGGAGGAGCAATGTTGGCGAATACAATGTTGGAGGAGTGAGGGAGGGCTGGCTGGGTGTGACAGCTCACACTCGCGGTGTTCTGAATGTGTTGATGGTGAATGTATATAGTGTGTGACAGTGTATAGACTGTAAATAGATTGTATATTGTGACAGTGTTTCCCCCCTTATATTTCTCCCACGCCTGCAGTAAGAGTCATGTCTACTTTTCCCAAGCGTTCTCTACGTTGCAGGCTACAATTTGATATATGGGAGAGAGTGAAGTGTTCTCGGAGAGCCGAGAAATTTGTGAAATAGTAATATTTTGGCCTGTGGTATAGGCCCTTTAGGGAGCCAAGATGGCGCTTGCCTCCCTGATTTCCCGCCAAAACCGTGTGACGTCAGTGGCACCGGATTGGTCACCGACAGCAATGTGGCACCGGGAGCCAATGAAAACCTCCCGTGGCGAAAGTGACGTCACGAAGGAAGGGGGTCCGGCCAGCGCGCCGAGCTGGCGCCAGCAGTCAGACATGACACGTCAAAGAGGTCGGACGTGCGACGATTGGTCCTGTCAGTTTGACAGTTGTTTCCCGCTCCCGTGAATTTACGCGTCACCTGACGTCTGCCAGTACTCTGAGAGGTCTTCCCTAGTTCATGTGTTGAACCAGAGAGGGAATTGACGGTTATTTGAGCAACAAGTGCTCCAGTCAGGTACTGTGCAAGAAGCAGTGAAGCCGTGCAGTGACGTATGTGACGTCTGTGGCAGTTCACCAGTTCGTGACAGCGTAGTGGCTGACAGAGCCACTGGGTAGCTGAGGAAGGAGAGGACTATTTGGGGAATCCGGACGACTGTTGCTGAGACGTAGGCGGCAGCCGTTGATGGGAGAAGACGACGGCCAGGAGACCGACTCCAACCCTTCAAGAAATCAGGAAGGAGTACGGACCCGCAGTGAAGAGGGCACGGAGACGACGCGCTAAACGGTGGGACGACGAGAGGCTCTGGTAGGACACGACGACGTGTCGTGTGGGGGCGTTCCCGACACGAGGACCAGGAGCTACATCTCGACTCCCATCGGAGGATAG